TAAAACCTCTCTCAATGAGACTACGAAAGTTTCAAATAAAACTAGCAGAAATGGATGAAAAGTTAATAAGTTAATAATACATGCAGTTAACAAGGCAGTATAATTACATACATAGATGGAAAATTTAACACACTTTATATGTTCTAAAAGCTTCACTCAAATTTTTATTTTTATTTATCACAAGATGAATATGATTAGAAAGTAACACTAATATTATGCAAAAAATGAACACAAAAAACGTAACTCTCATACAATTTGTATAAACAATCATATTCTTTCATTAACATTTATAATATACTAAATTAACACATTTTATTTATTTATCTTAAAATATGCGTTTTAAAAAATATTATTTAATTTTGTGTTATTTGTCTATTTATTCATAAATTGTATTATTTTAAGAAAGGATAAATATAAATTTAACATAACATATTCAAATAACACAATCACATTATGTTAAATTAACAATAATCGGATATATTAAAAATTTGACACAAAATTTTAACAAGGATTTCAGCGATCGTTTCTAATCAAATACAAAACGTTTTTTTAATTGTGTAATTTGTCACATCAAATTTAACATATTTTACGTGTTCCACGGTCTATTTAAATTTTGGTGTTAATTTAACACGAGATGAATATTGGAGGATAATCTAATTATTATATAAAAGAATTAACATGAAAAAATAATATATTGATACAATTTGTAAGTAAACTGTGGAAGCATGCTTTTTTCAATATTAATGATGTGTTAAAATAATACGTATTTTATTTATTTATGTTGGAATTTATATTTTAAAATACACTAATTTCAATAACAATAATTATATTAGGACTCTCGAATTTTAAACAATACAAAAAGATAAATATAATAAGCTAATGAGAGTCAGCAACGATAAACGGCACAATTATTTGGTGAATAATAAATACTCAGATATTAATGTCTTCTTTATTTTGACTAACATTTCGACTCTCTTTAGAGTCCTCCTCAGGAAGAATGATACAAGTATAATTAGCTCATGTCCATAATGCCTAAGTCACTCGCAAATTGACAAAGATGCAGCGCTGTTAATCATCACGGAACATGAAGCATTGCACTGAAGCTTTGTTGAACATATTAAAACTTAAAAAATAGAATTGTTAAAATCAAATATAAAGATTACATATTTTTAAAACACATGTCCGAGTGCGACGACGTGTCACTCACACTAATTTCATTATTTGTTTATTCATAAACTGTGTTACTTTGATATTAAAAAATGTTGAATACTAATTTAATACAAATAATATAATCACATTATGTGAAATTAACACTCGAATACGTTAAAAATTTAACGAAATTTTTACAAAATTTTTAAAAAATGTGAACTTTTAATATAAATACAAATTTATTTTTCAGAGTGCAAAAAAGAAGTAAGAAGCCATGTTAGTTAGTAGAATGCAAATATCTCAGGAAAAAGTATTTTATATATTATATATAATTATATGCAATTAAATATAAAATATATCTATATATTTTTATATAGAATTATAAAATTGTATACATTTTTATATAATTTTATATAATTAAATAATTATATTTTATATAAAATATTTTTTCCTGGAATAAAATAAATTAATTTAAACAAATAACGTTCTCTTCAGAGATAAGTTAATGCAATACGCAGTAGAAATGAAATGTATGATTAAAAATTAAGTCAAATTAATTTTTCGTTTAAAAAGCAAGAAAGATTAAAGTCAATTTATAACTAGTAAAACTTATGGCGAATTCAGCACACATGCACTGACTCTGCTTTAGTGACTTGTTGCTCTGACATGGTGCGTGTGCAGATGTCATTTTGATGCTATACCAAATTGCACTGTCAGAAACGTCAGTGCAACATTTCTTGAACTCGTTCAGTTCATTCAGTTGGTTGATCCAAATATAAATTCAGCACTATATTGGGTCAGTTTTTATTTAGTGACTCTGACAATCTGAACGCATGACATCACAGTGCGCACAAGCCGCACGTGTGACATTGAAAAAGTTGGCACTCAGTGCGCACTAGTGCAGTCTGCTGAAATCCGCTGTTAATTAAATGTTAATAATGGAATTTTGTGAATGCACGAAATAAGTAAGTGTCCAAATATAATAAAACTCAATATTAAAATGAGAGAGTCACTTTGGAATCGCAAATAAGTGTATCCGATAACAGGAAGCTTCGTGCTTTTACAAATAATGCGATAGTCAGTCTCTCAATAAGTTGTAAAAAAAATAATCGCTCTGCAAAAGGGCTAATTATGCAGTAATACGTTTTGAAAGAGAAACACTCAGTAGAATATATACGTAAAAAAATTTGCGTTTCATCCTTAAATAAACCGCGTAGAGAAATAAAATCATAGGAATCAAAGAGCGGATTAAATTCACAAGCAAGTCAGTTCTCAGCGAGAACGCGTGGTGGAGAATACTTCACCATTCAGCATAATAATATTGACAGAAGTAAAAAAGTATAAAGAGTAATCACGCGATTAAAGCTCGCGGAATAAGAGAATTGCGGATTACATTATATACCGTAGCGGTGCGTTGCAGAAACGAATTATTAACACCGCGGCTACCGGGAAAAGCGGACAATCAGGATGCTATATATATATCAAAGCAGGTAAAGATATATTCAGACGTATTCATGCTGGGCATCCAGCGAGTCCAGCTCGCCACGAACCGAACAGAGGTGGTATTTCAGCGTGTTTTCGCCGCCCGCAGTTCGTAATACAGGAGCTAGGGACGCGCGGCTAAGCCTTCACTGCCGCGATAATTAACATATATTCGCATGCTCCTTAAGCGTGACGGGGGCACGACCGGCGAGCTATCGTCAGTTTCGTGAAGAGATATTAGCATCACAAAGGAGAGCGAGAAACAGTTTCTACAGCCGTAAAAGATGTCTATACCTACCGGCCCGGCCGGACGTTATACGACGGATGCGTTTCACGCTGAGTGTGTATGTATATGCCTGTGAGTGCGTGCGAGCGTGCGTGCTCGCTCACTCGCGTGCATTCCACGCCTCCTGATATTGCTACATCAAAGAAATACTAACCATGTTTTTTTACTTGTCGAAATATTCTCCGACTTCCGTCGTATTTATGCGCTCTCTCTCTCTCTCTCTCTCTCTCCTTCCCCCTCTCTATCCTTTCTTTCTCTCCTAGTTTAATTTCTTATATACTGTCTTTTCGTACGATATCCTCCCAAATTTGATTAAAAAGATGAAGCTATTTTCTTCTGCTATTTTCTTCCTTTACACACAGTGTTAAGATACAATTCGACAATTATCAATCGATTATTTGCTGCAATTATGATATAATTGTAAAAAATCGTCATTTTTTTTCAGTTGCTTGCAAAAAAGAATAAAAACATAAGAAACATTCTGTAAAAGAATTGCATTGTTTTTCTTTGTAATCAGGTGTTACACCAAAATTGTATTTTAAAATTAATATTATAAAATTTTGACTATTCAAAATATTTAACAATTGAACTTATTTTTTGGAAAACTTTATCTTCTATTATTGCTGTAGTAATAAGCGATATTTCCATTTAAAAATATATAATTTTATTTATTGTTATTGTTATATGTTGTTATATCATGTTACAGATTTCATGAAACATTTGCTCTGATTGCTGCATTATTTTATCATATTTTTTACTCTGTATTGTTTTCAAATAGATACATTTTTTTGTTAAATAATAAAATTTGTAAAATAATAAAAAAAGAATACTTAAAAACATTGCTTATTCTATTTTCGTAATACCTGTCGCCTTTTTTAATCGTAATGATTAAATCATGAAACATAATGACTAAATAAAGAGAATATTTTAATAAACGTAAACAGTCCATTTTAATTAAAAGATACGCGTGCGTACGTTATGTTTATTCCTTTGTTATGTACATACATAGAATTCATGAAATTTGTAATAATCCAGAACAGGTTTACATAAATTCGAGTTTTATGTTCTCTAAATTATTCTTTAAATCTAAATAAATGATCAAAGTAAACATTGAAAAGTTCAACTAGAACTAACTGTAGATTAATTAATTGAATATATATGTATATCATATTTCTTTGTAAATTATTTATTTAGTGCTAAAACGATAATATAATTATTATAATTCAATAATAAGTATGATAATGTAAATTTTACTTCTCGTTTACTCTCTGGAACGCTATACCTTACACATATAAATAACATATTGAAAAAGATATTATATTTTAGTTAAACAATTGCACAAAATGGCATAATCATTTATGGTTTCTTGTGCGGATTGTGCAACGTTTTCACTTTCATATTTCTATACGCAGAAATCTAATAACTGTAATTATGATTGATACTAGATTAACTCTCATGATAATCACAATCATATCGGGATATCAATTTTATTCTGACGATAATCTTAATTGCTTTTTTTATCAGTTTGCTTATGCGCTATCAAATCACATGCAAAACCTTCATATACTTCTGCATCATTAGTTTTCCTATACGAGAAAATCGAAGATCGCAATCTTATTGAGAAAATTTTTATACCCAACACGAATTTGCACTTTTCTTATCTATCTTCTTCACGATCGATTATAATCAAATTCTTATCTTCTCGTTTTCCACGTACTGAAAATGCATGTATGATGAATAAGGACTTTTTACTTTTCATAATACTTGTGAATCATATAAGTGACTCGTAGATACATAATCGAAATTTATTTAAATGCGCGCTCAATTTTCATTGTTCTATTGTGTAAATAAATTAATATTTAAAAAATTTACTTAATTAATATTATAATGAATAACAATACAATAATAAATTACATAATTGTTACTATAAAGATCAGTTGTATCAATTTTAATTGTGTTTACAATTAGTCATTCATTTAATTAATAATGACATCAATATAGAAAATAAAACATATTCTTTAATAGTAAAATAATATAAACAAATTTCTTATCTTGTTCATATAAGATTTCCTTTGTTTCGTAGAGGTTATGGGAAAGTAACGAAGCGATGGAAGTGATTGGACCAGTGCGAGTAGTTCATCAATACATCAATATGCCGGAACAATATGCAGAATTTTATAACGAGACTACGAAAAAGGTTGAGGAGGTAAATTACGGTTGTCGCCTATAATTTTTAGAGCAAATTCTTGATAAAGGAAAAAGAATTTATTCGAGTTTTTTTTTCACAGGTGCGTGGGTGCGTACCTGCGATGGGTTACAGCTTTGCAGCTGGTACTACTGACGGACCTGGTTCGTTCGCTTTTGAACAAGGAACAACGACGTCGAATCCCCTTTGGAATACCGTACGAAACTTTTTGGCCGCCCCCACGGAAGATGATATTCGTTGTCAGAGCCCGAAACCTATTTTATTAGCCACTGGACGGGTAAGTCTACCTTTCTATCAAGTGTACTTTATGTTCCCATCTACTGTAATGTTCAGTTAACATAAGAAGACAAAAAGATTTATCCACAAAATTTTATATTTATTAAATTACTAACAATATATATTTAATAAAAACAGATTTGGAATGTTAATTACATTTATTGTCATTTTGATTTTATTGTGGCCAAACTTTTTTATCATCCTGTATTGTTATTAAAATGCAATAAGTAATAGAATAAGTATATGATTAATAAGGTATATTGTGTGATAGACATAGACTTTAGATACTACGAAAAAACATCAACAATAGGATTAAATGTAAATTACCATGTTTAAATAAATAATGAATCAGAACTTATATAGATAGAAAACGAAAATGTCAGTACTGCGTGATACGCAGCATGGCGTAATTGAACACTTTGAAAACGTTACGTCGGCGACAGTGTCAAGCACTGAATTGTTGGACGATGACTAATGATTTCAGATAAAACTCCCTTATCAGTGGCAGCCGAAAATTGTCTCGACGCAAGTCGCCATTATCGGAAACGTCGTTATCGCTGGCGTACCCGGTGAATTCACGACAATGTCCGGAAGAAGATTGCGAGAGTCTATCAGGAAAGTTATGAGCGATGCATCCGACGACGAAACGTCCGTAATAGTCGCAGGGCTCTGCAATACTTACAGCGATTACATAACAACACCTGAAGAGTATCAAGTAAACTGTTCATTGTTGTTACTAAGCATGAGCAATTCGCTCGAGAATCGGGGCCATTTTGAAGGCTTCCAAGTGGAACCTATTGGATTAGTTATCGCGATTTATAATACGTATAATATTTATATGAGAATAGTTTGAATAGTTCTTCTCGGTCTGACACAAAAATGAGGTCATAAATACCAAACTGCTTTAATTTTAGACAAGTTTGATCCTTGAACAGTGTTACTGTTAAAATTTCTGACAGAAATAGCGTTCATTAGTTTCTTTGTTTCGTTCGTGTAAAGCAAGCAACCAACTTTTGATTCCATCATGACAATACATCCGCTCACATTTCTTCAATTGCATATTTCATTAAGTCACGTGAAATCTGGTGAAATACAGTGCTTGCGGAATTATTGCAATGGAATTTTGCGACTGCAACATTGAAGAAATGTGAGTGCATTGTCAATGACAGAACTAAAAATTGCAGATTACTTGACATGAACAAAACGAAGAAACTAATGTATACGTCTGTCTCAAAATTTTAATAGTAGCCCTGTAAAGGATCAATCTTGTCTAAAATTATAGTAGTTTAATATTTGTCATTTTTTTGTTCTTGTTAGACTTGTTAAACTAATTTTCAAACTACCCTCTTATTGTAACATGCCGCTATATCAAAATTTGTCGGTCTCAAAATGTATGTCATTTTCTGACAAGTTTTTTGATAAGTGGCGAGATAAATGGTACATAAAATCATCGATCTATTCTCTTTGAACTCGGATTTATCTTTTTTTGAAACGCATCCCAATGCTAATAGTCACTGAAATATTAACTTTTAGCTACAAAGATATGAAGGCGCATCAACAATTTACGGTCCTCATACACTTACAATATACTTGAAGCAATACCAGGAGTTAACAAAAGCGGCTATTCAAGTAAGTAAATAGAATATACACAATACAAAATATTTTGTACTTGTATTAAAACAGGTTAAAATTTTTGACATATCCAAGTGTTAATTTAATATAAAATGATTGGATCATTTGAATAGTTTATGTTAAATTAATAGTCAACATTTTTAAATGTGAAGATAACACAATTTGTGAGGAAGTAATTAAATAAAAATAATATATTTTAAAATATAAATTTTAAAAATATAAATGAATAAAATGTATGGATAAAATGTTAATTTAACATATAAAAAAGAGTAATTGTATTGTGCGTGAAAAAATATTATTTTTAATTTTTATTTAAGAAATAATAACAAAATAGTTTGACGAAATCGGCGATTTTTTCGAACATTTCTATTATTCTTTAACATATTCATCTTGTGTCAAATTAACACAAAAAAATTAAATGAGCTGTTTGAGATGTGAAATATTATTAAATTTAACATAAATTTTTCAACTATGTACGTAATCAGAAAATATGCAAATTCAGAATTAAGAAGATCTTTCTCCGCTAACAAGATGCAATCGGTCTCATAGTGAAAATACTTCTCTACTTAGTAATCAATTATTATTTTCACAGAAATCACGCATCGTTTATCTTTTACGTCATCGCAAAATCAATCGCCGATACCTAACTATCAAGGTTGGGTAATAACTAGTTAATGAATTAATGATTAGTCTTCAATAATATATAATAACTGATGAATGAGTTAAATAGAATTAAGAAATTAATAACTCTTAACTTATAATTAATTAATTTTAAATGAATTAATTTTTAATTTTAACTAATTATTTAGTAAAACACATTAAGTTTAACTCATTAGCTTTTATCTTCGTAAATTAAATTTTTTTAGTTTTGAACATTAATATTTCTTTTTCTTATAAGATTCTTAATAATAATTAGACAATTAGAAAAAAATCGTAATGAATATGTTTTGCTAGTATAAGACTACTTTCATTTCTCTCAAATTTCAAATAGAAATATAGAATAATTTATTTAAAAAAAAACGGTTTTGTTAATTAAAGTTTTATTTAAATAATGTGTAATATAAGGTATTCTTTTATAATTTAATATCTACCTAATAATCACTATCATTATCTACACTTTTTGTGTAATTCTTTTTATTTGAATTTTTAACTACTATTGGTTAATTTATTATATTTAAAGAAACAATATATTTCCATTAAAATACGTAAAAAAAAAAACTAATTTTTGGCACTTTATATGAACATTTTATAAATAAAATATTAAATTTATTTAATGATAGTCCATATGATAATTGTTTTTTTTAGTAACCTAATTTTAAAAAAATTACATTTTAATGTTTAATATAAGTGCGTATTCAAATTTTTAATTTAATTATTAATTTAATTATTAATTTAATATTGACTTTATTTTTAATTAAGTTACAAGTTTTTTTGTTCATGCAACCTTTAATGTAATTAAATTAATTTTATAGACCATTAATTTTAATTTAATTTAGTTAACACAGGAAATATTAACTTACCCGTCTCTGCTAACCATATATAGAATTTATGTTAAGAACGCAATGAACATTATGTTTTACTGTTATTGCAGAATAAATCTGTTTCACCAGGACCACCCGCTCCGGAGCTGCTGCAAAGTAACTTGATCATCCTTGTACCTCCTGTGCTGTACGACACTCCGCGATGGGGACACAACTTCGGGGATGTTATCCAACAGCCGCAAAAAGTCGCGTTACCCGGTGACACAATTCTAGCGATCTTTGTAAGTATCATTGATATCTCCATTTATAATTTATGATGCTTATGTTACTCCGAGAAAGAGTTTTAAGATTTTTCCTTGAGTGAAATCGCCATCCATTTTCAAATAATAAAGCCATCGATGAAGCCGTAAACTGAATCAAGTCTATATTAACGTCAAACAGGGAGATTATGCGAAATGCCATGTAATTGAATTTGGATTGCATAGGTCGGGAAGGAGTGCGCACGGTCGATAGCTTGCATAAAACATGTACAATTCTATTTTGCATATAACGGTGCTGCTTGTTTCGCGAGCCATTAAACGATAGATACGCTATGAAATGGACCGATTACTATGCGACCCATGCTGTCCTGTGCACACTTGACTGTCTGTAAACATCGCAATAATGAACATTTAATGTGGCATAACACATTGCGAATCGAACGGATTAATGCCGTTATAGCCAAGGCCGCCCGCTACAATAATAGGAAATTTTGCGAATTTACAGCCCATGTATAAACCGTGGAAATCAATTGCGATACACGATTAATTTTACTAAATAAATTTCGCGTATTTTTATTTATTATGTATGTCACCAATTTTATTGTCAGAAAAATTAACAGTATTGCGCAATGTTAAATTGTGCTATAATGAAAAAGAAAAAGAAGAAGAAGAAGAACACAGTGTCATCCGTTTATCATAATTCTCATAAATAATCTTGTAATAGTACTTTTGAAGCTATGCGTTCCGCGGGTTATCTCTGTGTCTAGATCCTAATAACAGGTTACTCCTCGCCCTGACGAAGTGACCTGCAATGTTCACGAAACGTTGACATAATAATAAGTACGGTCTAGACACGGAGATAAACCACGGATAAAAACCGCGAAACGCAAAGCTTCTTTTCTAATTCTGTACAATGGAAATTTCCGCATAGCGGAAACAGAATTGTTGTTAACATGATATTACAAGCTTGACGTAAGACGTCATGGTGAAAATTCCAACAAAAGAATACTTTACATGGCTATTTCTTGTTCGCTTATATTATATTGTTCTCTATTCTTCCCTTCTCTTCTTTATTCTTCTTCTTTTATTTGGAAGCTATAATGACTTATATACAAAATCTGTATAAGGCCACACCTTTTTATTCGGTGAACTAATAGAGATACACCTAATAAATGTAATATCAAATTAAACGGTTATAATTAAATTCTATTGTATGTAATCTGATCAGATGATCTGATTGATTCGAGAGTCAGAAATTGACCGCATCGCCGCGCAGGGTTTCCAAAACTGAAAAGGTAGTAGTCCTGCAAAGCTTTAAATCGAAACAATTTGTATAATTTGTATTTAAAATTAATTTATATTAATTTTATATTGTACATCGTTGTATTCGTTAGAACGGACGCTACAACTTTTATTATATTAAAATATTTACTTTATCTTGCAAAAATTATCATTCAGTTTTGTATACTGTTGGAAAAAATTTGTTGTGTCAAATTTAATATAAATCGCGCGATCCGTATCTCCAACTGTTCATTCAAAAAATTTTTGAGTTAATTTAACACAAGATGAATATATTAGAAGGTTACACAAACATTATATAAGAGAATAAATACAAAAAAAAAGATAATATCGTCACAATTTGTAAACAAACTGTGGAGGTATTTTTTTCAGAGTAAAATTAACCTTTATGATATGTTAATCTACATTTTATTCATTCATCTTAGATAAGTTAAATATCAATTTAACACAAAATCTTTAAATAACACATCTTTAAATAATCACATTGTGTTAAATTAACACTTGAATAAATTAAAAAATTTAACACAAACTGTTAAGAACAAAAACGTAAATGGACCGTTTTCAATACAAATACACAATTTTTTTTATTGTGTAACGTAGATAATTTTTCTAAAGGATCTGTGCTTATAATAGAGTTTAGATAGAATTATTTAATTTTTGATATTATATTTATTAAATCCATCTCTGTTAGTTACTGAGATAAAAAAAGGTGCAGGCAGACTTGTACGCGGGGACATCCTATATAGGTAATATGAGTGGATAATGTAAATCGATACATGTTAAATAATTTCAATCCTATATTGTTTTTGCTTTCAACCATAAATTAACCAGAATTACATATATCGCTAAATATAATTATTTAGTTAATTATCGACAATAATGACACAATAATTACTATAAAAGGTGGATTATTAATCAAGTTATTGATTATATATTTTATATATATAAATATTACGCATTAAACATATATATATATTTGTGTAATGAATTAATTAATTTTGCGCAATTTGCGAATATACGGTATACATCGCTCTCTTATTTTAAAATTGACACAACTCAAAAACATACTTTTCGAGTTAATAAGCTAAATAAACATTACTCTCAAAAATAAAATAACTTAACTTCATAAAATTTGTCGAAACTTTATAAGTAAAAAAGAAAAGGTTTACAGTAAAATATTGTCATAGCTTAAAATGTGCGGTCTTTTAACTCTTTTAAGTGTTGTGAAATAAAAGGCATTTGATGTTGAACATATATTCATTAATATTAAGTGTTAAAAATATATTCTTTTTGCCGATATATATATATATATATTATTTGATTAATGAATAATTTTCTGTCAAATTGAAAATAGTTTTACACCTTTTTCGGGAATCTTTCGACTTGTGTCACTTTTGATATAAGAGAATAATATATATATAAAAACAATATATATACTAAAATATATGTATAATATATACATATATATATTTTAATAATAAATTATTATATTAAAATTATTTTATTTTAATGTGCAATTTTAATAAGAAATTTATCTTACACACTTGATTCGACGAATGAAGGCGAGAACGATCGTCGCGTTGATCTTTTACAGTGGAAATCGCCGTTCATTGTTAATCGTGGCATATCCGCGTTTTTATCGCGATTGAGTCACGCAATAAAAAGCAGCGCAACGTTTTCCTGTGCACTCGCCTAACACTCGGAAAATAGGTTGCCTTCGATGACACGGTGCGAATGGATTAAGTAATCGTAAATTACCTTCTGGCTATAATTTCCGGCGGCGGAGGCGCAAGATGCATCGTGAAAGCACAGATACAAATGAATCACAGTCCGTGACTTACGCGCGAGGTCAGTTTAAAACTTCTCTGTTCCCCTCGCTCCCTCCTCTCCCCCCCCCTCCCCCGGCTCGTATTGATCGCTTGGGAAAACTTCTTTCGTACGAACGCTGCTTACGATATCTGACTGCGGCAAATATGTAAAACACGTCGATTTGCGATTTCGTTCCAAATAAAGATCATATTTTAAGGTAGAAGCAGCGAGATTCTCGTTTATCTTAGAGTAGATAGATATGTATAACACGCTTCGCGTGTTCGACAAATAAAATGCAACAATAATAGATCGAGGAAGAACAAATTTGCACAGCTATACGACATATAGTGTTATTATTATTTCTTCAATATTTTATTATTTCTGTTGCAGGTCGCTGGTCATCCCCGTAACAATTTAATGACCGAGAGCACGTTCTTAACCGTGGAACAATTAGGCGATGATGAAGTTTGGATACCAGTAGCCACGGATGCCGATTGGGAGACCAAGTACGTGTATCAAATTGCATTATTGCGTACAATCATTTTAATGTATCTACATATCGACATAATTAGATTAGAAAATGTTAGAATACGAAACGCAATTCTTTCTTTTAACTTCTAGCTGTAACTCATTTTTTATCTTTCATAGCGTAATAAATCATAATGGAACATATGTGGGCTTTTAGATTTCAATGGAAACGAACTTCTATAATATTGGGGTCGAGTCAGATGACCATTACGTGGAAAATCCCGCAGGATGTTAAACTGGGCGAGTATCGCATCAGACATAATGGTTATTATCGCTATGTCCTTGGCGGCGTATATCCTTACTACGGTGTTACCAATCATTTTCAAGTAAGTTTCGGTGTATCGTCTCGTAAATATATTTGTTTACTGTTATACATATAAGTATAGTGAATGCAGAAATACTGTATAGAAAACATTTTTTTATATCAAAACTTTATATAGAAACTTATACTTGTAAAAAATAAATATTAATTTGCAATTTTATTCAATGAGTACATTCCCTCCTAATATAAATAAAAGAGCTTCACATGTTCGTGATCTTACAAGTTAGAAGTTAAATCTTATTTCGATTATATGAATACTTTTTGTACGTTTAAATATAATTTAATTTTTTAGCTTTGTTTATTTTAAAAATAACATATTTTAATTATTATATGTCTATTTAGGTAGAATAACTTTAACAAATGCAAAATCTATTTATTTATTGTTAAAAAATTGGTAATTAATGCTTATTTAAAAAAAATAAGGCTTTCTTTAAAAAGATATCTCTTGTATGTACCAATACTTTTGCCTTCACTGTACACGTTAAAAGACGAAATACAAAGCTTATTAGTAAATATATAGTTCTGTATTTTTTATATGCTTAGTGAAATATTTCAATCAAATCTTATTGTAATATCGAAACAATCGTGTGCTTATACAAATTTAGTTATACTTATTATGATTACAGGTGAAAATTCCTGCACCGAATATACGTCAACGCTATTATGGATGACACTTGATGCCTTTCTTATTCTATCTTGTATTTTGACTAGGAAATTATTACGCTTACTTCATAGTTAAATTAAATCTATTTTATGTTTATTTTATGTGTAAATAGATATTCTAGAGAATAAATGATAGCGAAAGAACGTGGGATGATAGTTTTTGTTTGGAAGATGTTGCATATCTTTACGCACACAAGTTTACAAATTGTTTCCTCTTTTTCTAAATAGGTTTATTTCCTCGTAATTAATATGTAATGTTCAATGATATTGTTGAGATTTTTTAATTATAGTTTCAGTATCCATTATAACAATTATAACAGTTATACAATATATGACATAATATAATAATAAACATAATTTGCCTAACTAATAAAGAGGCTTAGAAATGCATTTCATGGCATTTTGATAAGCCTTTATTCGATTATTTTGAAGCACTAAAAATAATCCCTGTAAAGTCGTAGACTTCTATTTGCTATTTTTATTATTTTTCGAAAGAATTGCAATTTTAAGTCATGATGACGGATCGCTTTCAGATCTGGGGAATCGATAGATATGGAAATAGTAAATAATTTTTACACACGTTTACTACTCCAAGTTGAAAATGAGAACTGTAAGTTTGAATACTTGAAAATTGAGAATTATGCATAATTTTTTCAATATTTTGTTTTATTTTTAAGCGCTGTAGCTCGATGAAACATGATTGAATAAAAATTAACGAAAACATACATTAAAGTAGATTTTCTAAGTTTTAAAATGATTTTTTTAAAAACATAGATGTAATAATTTTTCACAATAATATTAATTAAACTTTAAAAATTCGGATAAAAATTCATTTTTACAAAATGTTTTTAACTTCAATTATTAAGTTTAGAAAGAAAGAACAAAAATTTTCTTATCTTCTCGATTCGCGTAACTATTTTTTAAAGCGTTTCCGAATTTATATAAGATGTACATAAAAATACATAAAAATCACTTTACAGAAATTATGCGTTTCGCGGATTATCTTCGTGTCCAAATTCATTTTTAGAATGCCAACGCTTTGTCAATATTACAGTTCACTTCATCAGAGCGAAGAGCAGTCTAATACTGTATCTCAGGACATTTTTTCAGGCTGCCCTAGAAGCTGCTCTGAGGCTGTCCTGAGACTATCTTAAATTGTGGCGTCCTCAAGACGTCCTCAGGACATCTCGTGAATACATGACTGTTCTCAAAATGTCTCATAACATCCTAAGACATATTCAGAATGATCCTGAGGATGTCTTGTGCTGTCTAGGTAAAAGAGGCTGATGAGGAAATATGTTTCGCTTATGAAAAGGATATTGGATGAAACGTTGCATTAAATACTGGATTTACGTGCAATCGTATATAATTATGTTGTATCATTCTATAATAAGCATAAAATTATATTACTATTATAATTCTACGTATTAATGTACAAAAAATCTCATATCGGTAGGTATTGCTTGATTTTGAGACATATTATATTCGTATCATATATCGGCGCATGCTTTATATCCTCCTTTATCATAGATAATATCCCGTAATCGATAGTGCGGATCGTGAATGCTTTCCTAAAATATTTACAAAGTACAGGCGGAAAAATAAATTTTTTTTTTAATTAACAGTAATTCTAATTCAAAAAGAAGAAATGCTTATTTAATTGTAACATTTCGATTACTGAACGTAACGGAGATTCTACGATTAACTTCAATTTGCATTAATTGGATACTGCATAGCATACCGGTGATTTATTACCTCTAATTATAATTACGTTATAATATCAAGTATTACATGTAATCTCAATTGAGAAAGTATGGTTTCCGGTATTATATATGGTCAACCGGTATTATAGTTTATCGAACGATGTCGTATTATTAATCCATAATTATGACACATACTTACTAATATAATTAATGCTCTGCAACTTTAGAAGGTATTGTATTCGAGAATTTTAATAATATATTATTTACAACTGTGTATACTATTTATTATTATTAACTGCTACTTTATGTGCAATATCATGCAAATATCATACAATAACAATTTTTATGCCAATTCCTACTATATAATAGAAAAAGCAAAGCATTTTGCATTATCATATCATTAAAATATAATAATGACATTTTCTTGCATTCTCAAGTGTCGTAAACTCGCATACAAATGTCGAAGGTGTAAAATACGATATCGTCGAGATAAGTTCCTATTATACGAGGTAAAGTTTGAAACAATTGAAAAGCACAGGCAATAAATAATAAAGGCAGAAAATAATAGATTTCTATCTGTCAAAAAACGTGTTTCCACAATACACGGTTGGATAGGTTGAAATCTATTGTTCCTATTACCTGTGCTTTTCATTTGTATCTCATGCTTAATGCGATCTGTAAATATATTTTTATATTCTCTACATTCTATTTCAAACATAATATGTTGATTTGAATATAAACGAAAAATATATTATCGCAATATTTTTTAATACAATATTTTTTACAGAAATATAATCTCCAAGTAACATATATTATTTTATATGTATAT